CGGGTCCGCCTCTGGTCCTGCAGGAGCAGCGGGGCCCTGTGTGCGTCCTCCGCCGCCGAGCGCCCCTGCTGCTGCCCGGCCGGCCCAGCGTCTACGGCGGGCGCCGCCCTCGGGCCCGCATCTTGGTCCCCACACATCTCCACCACCAGCGTCTCTGGCGGGGACGCCTCCTCCAGGAAGTCCGCCGGGGCGGGCCACAGGCACTGCGGGGAGAGGGGCGGGGCCACGCTGGAGGCGGAGCCAGGGCGGAGCGGGCTGGGTCTCCGCCCACTCCACCAATCCCAGGTCGCGCTGCCTCAGGGCGCCTCCTTCAGCCCTATTTCCCGGCTCGGAAGAGCCCTCCTTTTATAGTGCAGCCGTTGGCCACGCCCACCCATGGGCACGTGACCCAGGCACGCCCCCCCCCCCCTCAGCATTACAGGCCCTGGCTTCAGCCATTGGGTCATATATGAGCATGTGACCTAAGCTGGGCCAATCAGTGATGGCCCTGAGACTGTTGCTAGTTAATGAGGAAACCCGTTACCCCAGGGGAAAGGTTGAGGCTGCCTGGGTCCAGCCCTACCCAAAGCATAGAGTCTGAAGCGGGAGGATCGCTGTGAGTTTGAGGCCAGCCTGCGCTACATAGCAAGACCCTGCCTCAAACAACGACGAACACCCAAGCTGATACTTGAAAGGGAGGATTTACCTGCTTCCCCGGGCTGTCCTGGAACGTCACTGCGGTGCTGGCACCAGGTGTGGGTAGAGGCGGCCACAGGTGCCGCGCAGCCCTGGGGAGGAGGACAGGTCCGAGAAGGAGGCTGTCGGCCTCTGCCTCCTGTTTCATGGTTATGCCTTACATTTTTTTCATCACCATTAGGTTGTGGTTTTTTTGTTTTTTTGTTTTTTGTTTTGGAGACAGGGTCTTGCAATGTAACCCAGGCTGGCCTCGAACTCTCTGTGATCCTCCTGCCTCAGCCTCCCATGCGTTTGGGCTCATTGCCGTTATGTTATGCAGGTATGGGGATGTGGGTTTGCGGGTTCAAATCTCACATCTGCCTCCTCTGCTGGGCGAACCCCTGTTCCCGACCTCGGTTTCTTCCTTTGGGAAACAGGCACACGGTGCTTCCCGGACCATGGGAGGGGTGTCTGTTACCTGCTCAGGCCGAGGTACCCCAGGGCACCCAGCAGGAGGATGGTCACAAAGCTTCCCACGGACACAGACAGGACGGACACACGGGACTCCTGTGGGGCTGGGGTGGGAGAGCTTGGGTAGGCGGGGGGGGGGGTCTGGGAGGCTGGGGCATTAATGGAGGGGGTCCAACCCCGTTTTCCCTTCCTCCTTCCCAGAAGCCCCTGGGCTTGGAGAGCAGAGACCCCCAAGCCCTGACGTCAATTGTTTGGTTATTTATCAGAGGTAGGTAAAGAAGGCGTTGGGGAGGAGCTTTTGAGCTGGGTTTTGAAGGATGAACAGGAGTTTGACAACAGGAAAATGAACTTTCCCAGTAGGTGGGCGTGCTGCCTTATCTCTTTCCAAGTTACCCTGGGAGGCAGGAGCAGGTCTAGTTGGTACTTTCTCCCGAGGGCCACGGCGAGCCCCAGGAGGAAAGGAGCCCAGGGAGGGGAGCTCACCAAGGCTGAAGCGCTGGGGCGGGCTCCAGGCGCCCCGCAGCCAGGCCGTGTCTGCGCGCACCTGCACTGTGTACGTGGTCCCAGGTCGCAGGCCCCGGAGGGTGACTTGGGTCTCCGTGGGCGACACAAGCTGCTCTGTGAGAAGCGATTTGTTTTTTCAGTACTGGGGATTGAACTCAGAGAGACAGGGTCTCGGTAACTTGCTGGGGCTGGGCTGAAACTTGGAATCCTCCTGTCTCAGCCTCCTGAGTACTGAGGCTATCACCCTCGCACCCGGCCCAATTCTCTTATTTGAGGGGTGGGGAGGCTGAGGCCCAGCGGGGGCTGCAGGGTGGGGGCGCACGCGGCGGGGGGTCACGCACCTGCGGCGCGGCCGCCGTCCTCCCC